GTCCCCCGCCGTGATGTTGCTGGAATATTGCTAAAAGTGGCGTACAAACCAAACTCAGTCAGTCAGTCAGTCTTAGTTAGAAGTACCATGTATGTAACCAGGCGTTCCTAGTACTGGGGAGTTATTTTAAAACACCTGGTTCGGGAGCCAAACTTGTAAAGAGTTAACTGCTGTGCTTTAATGGAATTGTTGGGTTTTTTAAATGTAGTAGTTCGGCTTTCGGGTTGCCGTTTCTATAAACTGTCACCTGTCAAATGAAAGATATCATAATGATTTCCAAGGAGACTTAGATGTGTGCCAGCAGTGTGGGTCATTACTACATTAAGTCTGGTTGTCATGATACACTTTGCTCTTTGCTTGCAACTTGCGATTGACTCGTAGACGATCCCTGCAGGCCGCCCGGAGAGCGGAAGGTCGCTGGTTCCATCCCCGACCGCGTCATACCAAAAGACGTTAAAATATGGTACTTGTTGGTCCCTGCCTGGCGCTCGGCATTAATGGGTACAACAAGGACTGGTCGGCTCGGACTCAGTATGATGTGTCTGAGTGGGGTATTCATGCTTCACTGCGGCATGGTATCTCAGTGAGCTAGCACTATAAAACCAGCTTCAGTCTGGGCTAGTACAAGCAGCCGCACATACACATACACATGCATGCACGTCGTCATATGAGCGAAATATTCCCAAGCACGACGTTAAACCCAATTTCACCTCACCTCATCTCCCTGCAGGCCCTGCTATTTCGAACAAAAAGGCAGCATGGTTTGCCTGCAGATTGACTGTTTCTTTTTTCCCTGAGGCAACCCTGTTCAGAAACCGTTGCAGTGCTGTTTGACTTGACCAAAAGGTATTAATACACATATGCACAACTCAGATAGTTGTACCACCAGGGGCCCCGGATGGGAGAGTGTAATCTGCTCCACTGTGACACCCGCCACAACATATGTAAGGACAAACCAACTGTTCACCTACGAAAACACTCAAAAATTAAGTACAAGTCAAAATAGTGAAAAAAACATCGGTCATCAATATATTTGTCACTAATGGAATCGACCTTCAGTTCTTTTTGAAAGCTTTGCTTTTGTCTTGAATGTTGTGAGAGCTTGTTCGGTTATATCCGACCAGCAATTTTAGTTTGTTATAACCATTGCTGGATATATAATACATTTTTCGACTAAAATATACAAGTGACCTGGACCACACAGCAGTTCGTTATATCCGTCAGTTCGTTACAAACGAAGTTTAACTTAACATGACGCCATTTGAGACTTCAACGCTCGAACAGGTTTATTTTTTTTATTCTCAACAATAAAGTTACCTTAAACCTCGTCAACCCATCCTACCACAAACCGGTAGGGCCTATTATCCGATTATTCCATGGACATGGCCATGAATGTAGAGTCCAGTAAGCCAGTCTGTCTGTGTTGATGTTGCAGGAAGGAATTGCAAGTACGGCGATCACATCATCAAGGAGGGGGATTTGTACAAACCCGACGCCCACACCGAGTGTAAATGCAATAAGCAACTACCCGGTCCCGACGCCGTGGTTGCTGTGTATGCGTGATTCCTGCCGGGTCTGTCTAAATTATCTTGCCTCACACATTAATGTCGTTTTCTGATTGGCTGAGCGCTCTTCTATTATTTTTCATGATTACCCTGCTTTTAAAAGTTAATCAAGTAACATTTTTCTGTGTACCATTAACTGGAATGCCGAACTCATTTAATACACTTCGTAGTAGCAGTTCTTTACCTCGCAAAAACATTGAATCACGTATGATGTACGGAAATTACCGATGTTTCTGAATGCAAATCGATGGAGATAACTCTGAATTAGCTTACAAGCGAAGTTTTCTTGTCTTGTCGTCTGGTACTCCATACTATCATCATTGAATCCGTGCTTCAAACAGTTCAGAATTACCATCGAGGTAAGACACATACGTTGTTCACTGGTCCCTCGGGGCCCATGGGTTGATGAACCCTAGATGTTTCGGGCTCAGGGAACATAAACAAACATCGAGGGTACATCAGCTTATGTCCCCTCGAGACCAGTGAACAACTTATAATGTATGAGCGAGTTGTCATGTCGGATAATCGGTCTCAACAGTGTGTCTATATTATGCCATCAGTAATGTAAGATTGGTGAAGATGGTACCAAACAATCTTCCTCGTCAATTAAACTACTGGACAAAAGAAATCACGCCAGTGTGCGAAATAGTTGCCAAATTTCGCTTATCAGTCGGGCAAGCTATGCCTGAAAGTTACTAGTCCACAAAATAATTCGGTAGCCCGAAACTTGAATGTAGAAACCAAGCCAAAGATTACAAAAAGTTAAAATACCATCATTTATCAGGCCATAATCTTGCATGATTTAAAAGTGCATTGTAACATAACAAGCGGGAGAGAGTGATATGTTCAAAAATTGACCCCATCAAAATTCACTAGCCAGTCAGGCCAGTGACTTAAATATCTACTGGCCCGACTAGATTTTTACTAGCCACAGGCTACCGGGCCAGTGGCTATTTCGCACACTGAATCACACGCCCTCAGTGACTTAGATATCTACTGGCCCAATACAGGCTACCGGGAGCTGCTTTCGCACACTGACACGCCCTTGTCTGACGAAACATACCAGAAATGTTATTCCATGTTTGTTGTTTTACGTCGCACCCAGCAGTATTCAAGCTATATGGCGGCGGTCTGTAAATACACGAGGCTGAACCAGACAATCCAGTGATCAACACTATGAGATTGCATTGTGGTTAAATTGTCCATTCGTTACGCTGAATACCCGGGTTCGATTCCCCAAATGGGTACATTGTGTGAAGCCCATTTTTGGTGTCCCCTGCTGTGATATTACTGGAATATTGCTCACAGCGGCGTAAAACCTGCCTCACTCATCCCTTTATGTTATTGAAACATTCATTCACACCCGACAATGTGGGATCACTATGATACGACAAAAACAAACACAATGCACATTTTGTCCAAACAACATCCAGCAACCCAAAGAATTCTGAGTATTCTGGCTGTAAGATTGAGTTAGTGAGTGAGTTTGACGCCGCCTTGAACAGTATTCCCGCAACATCCCAGCGAGGTGAGATGATGCAGGTCTCAGACGTTTAACCCATGATGAAACCCGGGATTCGAACCCACGTTTATGCTCCTGGCGTGCCCAAGGGACGTAACTCTGCACAGCTGATTGTGGCACCTTAGACGACACCTGCATTACACGAAATCCCTATGGTGTTAAAACGTGTATTCGCGACATTGATGTCAAACGTCAGTTACAGCTGATTGCACACATCAGATATAATGGACATGATAAAATAATGTATTTTTATAGATAATTTATACAATTCTGTTGAAGATTTGTTTTAAAGGTGATGGTGATTATGTAAATTCTTTCATCCAATGCTACACATTTTACTTTATTAAGTTAATTTTATATTTGTGCCGTAACGGAAAGGAAACTATATTAGGATGGGCATAAGGCCAAGTTTCTTCTTCGGCTGCAGTTCATCAGAAAATATATTTTTAAAAACACTTTTTGTGTCTGTTCTTATCGCCATGGACAACCGGTTTGAGGCATAATTACTTTTCTGTGGGATATCCCGCAACATTTCATAAATTTTCTTTATTAAAAACTCCTGAAGAAGGAAAGCAATTTAACAGTTGCTTAGGAACTAGTGAGTAAGAAATACCCACATGTTGTACTTGGAGTGAGTGAGTGAGTTTAGTTTTATGCCGCTTGTAGCAATATTCCAGCAACACCAGAAATGGGCTTCACATATTGAACCCATGTGGGGAATCGAACCCGGGTTTTCGGCGTCACGAGCGAACGCTTTAACCACTAGGCTACCCCACCGCCCCTGTTGTACTTTGACAGTCCTGTACTTCCACTACAACGAGATGCGCAAGATATACTGTGGCGTAGAAGAAGGAGCTGTCCACACAAATGATAATGACGTTATGACAAATTATCTGCCATTTGTTCTTAAGCATTCTGCAAAACTTTGATCATACCTATCAGTGAAGGACGCCAAATCACCTAATTTGTTAACGATGTAACAAAGAAAAACATCCAACTTTCAATTCTGATTAAATCTGATTGGGTTTTTTGGCGCTCCATCAGAAATTGAAACAGAAAACACTGAAACATTACCGGAACGACACCACTGAAACATTACCGTAACGACACCACTGAAACATTACCGTAACGACACCACTGAAACCTTACCGAACGACACCACTGAAACATTGAAACTGAAACATTACCGTAACGACACCACTGAAACAATTTCCGGAACGGCACCACTGAAACATTACCGGAACGACACAGTCTGAAAACATTACCGGAACATGTGTTCTCGGTTCAAGAAAACTTCATTTGAACCATATCAATACTGTATATCAATACTAGTATTAATAGAGTAAATATAGCCTTATTCCAGTTACGTTCAGTTTACTATGATTTAAGGTGTTATATATTTCGTAACAAACTTGCTCTGTGCAAATATTGTAAATTAAATGTCCTGGTAGACGAATACCATGGTCTGCTAATTTGCGGTCATTATAATAACATTAGAAGCAAATACATACCCAGTTGTTTTACGACAAAGCAGTCAAAACACATATTTTTCCAGCTATTGTCAACTGCTAACCGTATAATATTGAAAATATTGCTCAGTTTATTTATCATGCTATTATGAAGAGAGATCCACTCTGCTGATGAAAATAGTATATACTTGTACTATGGGCCTGTGGTCTTCAGTTCACAAGACGCTGGAAGGGGCGGATACAGCTTTTTGAGACAGGAGGGGTGCACAGGGGGGTTGGGTAGGGTGGCTTGCGCACCCCTGCAAAACACACACACACACCACCCCATAATATTTTAGCATTATAAAAACACTTTTCAAAACCAGCTACGGAGGATGGTGGATGACCTTGGTAATCAACATATAACAAGTCCCAAAGTTACAGCAAAACAGTAAACATCGACATCATGGCATCCTCTACTTTATTGTCATCAGTGCGTGCTGTACTTTAGATGTGGGTGCTGTTACAGACAGCTCGGTAGGCGGGGCCGTACTGCTGGGGGACGAACTGACACCGACAGGTCACACCCCCGTCCGTGTACACCTCCCCCTCCTTGATGATCTTGTCACCATGTTGACAGTTAAGGCCTGTAAATAGAAGCGACGAACACGTTTTGATTCTGCGCTCAGGCAGGTCAATTGTTCACCTGAAAAGAATCTGGGAACAGAGGGCACAAGACAAAATTGGGAACTGCATCAAACGTAATGTTTGTACTGTATGAGTTGCGGTGGGATAGTGGTCAAAGTGTTCACCAGTCATGCCAAAGACCCGGGTTCAAATCCTCAGATGTGTACTATGTATCCCATTTCTGGTATCCCACGCCGTAATATTGCTCCAAACATTTATGAAAACGACGTAAAGGTATACGTTCTAACTCACTCCGTACATCTTCCATACCGGGAATATATAGTTTAGTGGTCAAAGCGTTCGCTTGTCACGCCGAAAAGGGATTCCATGTGGGTATAATGTGTGAAGCCCATTTCTGGTGTCCTCCGGTGTGACATTGCTGAAATTTTGATAAAAACGCCATAAAACAACTCATTCACTGACTGCCATAACATCTGTCCGCTCTCGCTTATGCCATTCTCAAAATACCTAACTTTGGACGTGGAATCCGGACGAGGTCAACTGCAATTCCTGCTCCTGCTCCAACATCCTCCGTAGCTACAGGGCTCGCCAACCCCTGGATCAATGGCCCGGAACCCCCTCAATCACTCATCCATATTCACTAACTCGCTTACTGTGTTAGTACAACAAATCTTACCATCTGGGCACTCCCGACAGCACTGGGTAGACAGGTAAGTTGGGTTGACACAATGTGTCGGTGCACAGGTGATGTACACACAGTTGACTGAGCGACCTTCAGCACACACACAAGGCTGACACGCGCTCTTCATGAACGTATCCCCGATGGCGAAGGCCTTGCTTCCATAGTAACAGGTAGTATCGGGATCGAGGGTCGTCAATGGAGACCCGAGGCAGGTTGCTATAATTCCACAAAGAGCTACCCACACTGCTATCTGCATGTTTCCAATGTCGTATGTTGTTTACTGCTATCTTGTGTTGCAATGCTCCAGATAGATAACAATTTGAAGTATTAAACAGGTGCTACTTACGGGATGATTTCGTAACAATACGAGACCACGATCCGTTCCACAAAACGAGCGTAGCTTTAAGAAGATCGTAACTCCCATACTTTAACATACGACAGTCGTAGCGCTACGATCGCTTTGAGTAATGGAGCCCGGGGCCTAGATTTTCGGGAGCCCGGGGCGTTAAGATAGTCGTAAGTTAATGTTAATGTATGGCACTTACAACTATCTTGGCGCTAAGACAGCTTCGAAAATCTAACCCCTGGTCTTCCCTTCACAAAGCGATCATAGCACTACGACTGTCGTAAGTCTATGTTAAGGTAAGGGAGTTACGATGACCTTAGTGCTGAGATCGCTTTGTGCAACCCGATGGTCTCGACTTCTGAAAGCGATTATAGCGCTACGACTATCGTAGATCTGTGTTAAGCCATGGGACTTACGACCGTCGTAGTGTTACGACTATCGTAGATCTGTGTTAAGCCAGGGGACTTACGACTGTGTTTTGAAACGGGTCTCTGGTAATTAATTGGACAAATATACTGTTATAAAATATAATATACTGCCTTGTATATAATAGTATAAACTACCCTGTTGCATGACCTGAAAGAAATTACTTTTATTTTATGCAATTTTATGTAATGCACAATTACTTTTTTCGTTAGTATATGTCCAAGTTTAGAACCCAATGTCAGCTTTTACCTCCATCATTATGTGTAATTCATGGTTTACCAGTTTTCGAGCATACTACATTATTTCTCTTGACATTCGGGGTGCGGGGGAGGGTGTGGGGGTTGCGGTATGTTATATTTACTATTGGGCTGTATTTACACTGTAAGTTATATAAGGTACCGCGCGTTACACTCACTCACGCTATCAATCACAAGGTACGACACTGGGCCTTTCCAGCACAGCCTAACTGCGAATATTACGGAAAGTTGCTATAGACACGCCATATAAGTCATCTCACATTACATCTCACGATACAAGAAGACCAGCAGTTTTGTGAAGATCACTGTTCACCCTCGATACTCAGCCTCGACCTACTTTGGAAACTGACCACTTTCGCAACGAGGCGAATATTGACATCCCCGTCTTTATTGCTATAACCATTGCTTCTGTATTTTACTACCTTTCAATTTGTTCTTGCACCCCATGTTGCATTTGCCCCTTAAAGGGTTAGTATTGATTAGTTAATTTTAAATACAGTTAATTATACGACATTTCTTTGTTGTTTGTAAATCCGTCTAGGGGCCTTGCAGGTAGCAAAAGTACTGTAAGTCCCCATGGTCCCAAGCATTGTGATCAGCCGTCAGTTGCTGGTGATCCATACCCCATTTTATATTGTACTCTTGTCAATGGCGATATATTTTTATGATACCATACTAGTTTTACATTAAGAGATGTGATACTCTAGTAGTTTCTGTCCGCCGATGACAGGTATTTACGTTTTGAATTTATTGATTTTAATAGTGACATTAATTAAATTTTCTCCGACACAATATGACTGAAATATTAACTCACTCATGTTGCTGTTTGTTGGTTTCACAACGAATTCTTTGACAGGCTGATTTCCACTCTCCTACCCAGAGTTCCATGCGGCAAGCCAGCATAGTACCTCTGCCACAGGCCAGAAAATGTGACGATTTGTCACATCTTGCAATGTCCATTCAATATAATGTACAGATTTCTTTTACTCTTTTATTTTTGACGAGTCTACACATCTAAATAAACATCTTTAATAGAATGGTTTAGTTTCACTGAGAAAATATCCAAAAACATGTAACACTATTTCGATTTGCGTAGTGATCGTTTGTTTACATAGGTTGTACGGCTCCAGGTGCTGTCATCGAAGCTGATGGAGAACAAACGATGCAGCCAGTTTGATATCTACATATGTACTGTCATAGACCTTACTGTCGCAGTTGTGGAAGAATATATATGTAACAATGTAAAACAGTATGAAGAGAGCGCCGAAAAGCTTTCGTGACTCCAGTCTCTTCTTATTATGAATATGCGCGTTTGATTACAAAAAAGAGAAAAGTCCGGTCACGTGATATGCAAATTAGCCTGTGGCAGTGATGTTATGTTACGTCATCGCTGTGCCGGAGTGTGGCTGATGTCCAGTTCTCTTATTTCATCAACTTGGGAATTAACACGTGACAAACCCGACAATTACGGGAAATAGTACACATCGACATCATATTTTACTTTAATCAGTGCGTGTTGTACGTTAGATGTGGGTGTTGTTACAGACAGCTCGGTAGGCGGGGCCGTACTGCTGGGGGACGAACTCGCACCGACAGGTCACACCCCCGTCCGTGTACACCTCCCCCTCTTTGAGCACCTTGTCGCCATGTTGACAGTTTAGACCTGGAACAAGCATCATTCTCTCTGTTAATGGACGTATATTTCTTCAACCTGAGATTTTGAGAACAGGACTGACTTTGCTTCACACCCGCATTTTATGGACGTTAGGTGCAAACATCACAATCACATGACTCTCATGCTGATGTCTCTTCATTGGTTGCTGAACCCGTGAAGGTCCGGGTTAGAATGTGTCTTCAGCAACCCATGCTTGTCGTGAGAGGCGACTAACGGGATCGGGTGGTTAGGCTCGCTGACTTGTTGACACACGTCATCGGTTCCCAATTGCGCAGCTCGATGCTCATGCTGTTAATCACTGGATTGTCTGGTCCAGACTCGATTATATACAGACCACCGCCATATAGCTGGAATATGGCTGAGTGCGGCGTAAAACTAAACTCACTCACTCACTTCATTGGTTGCCTATTGAAACTCGCATTGACTATATTAAGATCCTTACACTTGCTTATCAGTCCATTCGGTATTACACCTCTGTATCTTCAAGAACTCCTCTCTCCTTACATGCCAACAAGAACTCTGCGTTCATCCTCGTCTAATCTGCTCTGTGTACCAAAATGGAACCTCAAATCATTTGGATACAATTAAGTCTTACCGGAACATGGCATTGGTCGAATTGAATTCTTTCCCTGATGAACGTAAGCTGTCTACAACCCTTGAAAACTTTGAGTGTCATCTCAAAACCTTTCTCTACAAAAAGATCTATATCAATGGACTTCGTTAATTCATTGTTAGCGCTATAAGCATACCTGGTATGGAGTTTGGCGCTATATAAATGGACACATTATTATTAATCTGCAGAGTTGTGCTCAGAAGACGTACCAGTATGATTGTGGGCTGGAAACTGGATTTGCATACCACCCACATGAAGCAGAACTCAATGTTCATTTGCGCTTGCTTGCTTGCCTGTTTACTATGTCATAGAGTAAACCATTACAATAATGTTTCTGAAAAGCTTCATATATTCAAGCGACATATTTGTTTCAATATATGTCCAAAGTACACCGAAATTCTATCCCCTTTGTCTATTAATGTACTCAGCAAACATTCGGTGTATCCCCTCTTATCATAAAACCCCCTCCGGGCAAGACCCTTAATTCTCAATGCTATCAGTACATGCCAATCAACACCTTTCTATGTCGGCGGATCTTGAGTATGTACATGTGCATAGGTCAGTGACCTTGCAGAACGTGGCGTAATGTCCCTATGTATAAAACCTGACTGACATGGTCACTCAGGGAGACCAATCAGGCAGACCAGTCAGGGGGACGAGACGGAACCAGATCATCGACAAAAGCGGACAGATTGTGCGGCAAGTCGGGGCGTCCGCCAAGGCCGTCGCCTCACCAACGACTACGTCGACGATGAAGAATCACCGTCCGACTTCTGAATGTGTGTAAGTGACAGAGCAGGTCTCCAGATCGGGAACATTGGCCACTCGGTCCCGATGTGCGTTCTGTCACGTGATTTCCATCTTATGTACCATTTCTACCATTATTCCCAACCATAATAAATATGGCTGCTGCTGTCTTCAACTCTACCGCTGACTTTTTTCTTCCGTCTATTGTCCACCATCCTGAACTACCATCCGAGAGAACCCCAACGAACGCCCTTTGACAACTATACTAGACACATAAAGAAACTGTGCATTGTCAAAATATTATCCCAGTTGATAAGTACGATAACAATGTCAAAGGTACATATAAACTTTAATGGAGGGATCATGAGACCATAACAAGTCGGGTCAATTAAAAAGTCAATCACAATGACGTCACGAGTCCACAAGCGGGACAGGGGTCAAACGACCATGTCACAAGCTCAATAACGGGTATGTCCACCATCGGCATTGAGAACAGCAGTGCATCGACGACGTATAGAGCCTATCAAACGTGCAAAAGGAAGGCTTGTGGGATGTCACGCCAGATTCTCTCAAGTTTCTGTTGCAAGGTCAGGACGTTATCTGGGGATGAGGAAGACGGCGTAGGCGATCGATCCATCTCGTCTAAACATGCTCTATCGGGGAGAGATCCGGTGAATTTGCAGGCCAAGGCAGTAAGTCAACGTTGTGGTGTTGCAAAATCCATAGCAACCCTTGCCGTATGAGGGCGGGCATTGTCCTGTTGGAATGTTAACCCAGGGCCATGACGTTGCAGAAAGAATTGCCACAGGTCGAAGAATCTGATCCTGTAGCCCACACCAGTTAAGTTGCCCTGAACAATCACCAAAGGAGTTCTTTGGCGTGCTGTTATTCCACCCCAAATCATCACGGAACCACCAAAGCGATTCTCTCCAAGACACACAGCCTGTGCATAACGTTCTCCCACGCGTCTATAGGCACGTTCACGTCCATCACTATGGGAAATGTTAAGCCTGGACTCATCTGTAAAACAACATTTCTCCACCAAAACAAGGGTCTGCGGACATGATTTCGGCACCACATTCGGCGAGCTTGTCGATGACGTTGTGTCAGGATAGGCCGTATGGCGAGACGTCGTGGTCTGATCCCATGATGACGTAAACGTTGTCGAACTGTGTTGGGGTGGATACGGCGAAGTCCTGGGATGGTTCGGGCAGTCATCACTGCAGTCTGAAACCTGTGGCGAAGATGGGTCACCCTTATCCATCTGTCCTGTCTTGGCGTTGTTACGTAGACGTCAGAACGTGGCCGATCGATGACGTCATTTGTGTTCTGGTAGCGTCTCACCAGTGCAGAAATGGTGTTCCGGTGGCAGTGGAAATGTGTAGCCACTTGTCGTTGAGACATTCCCCCACGGACCATCCCAATGACCTCATGACATTGTGCAGACGTGAGCCTTGGCATGCTATGCGTTTCGATAGCCGTTTAATATTTTGAACGATCGCAAGGGCAGGGGTTGAGCTTTCCAAAGTGACAGTATTGTGTGGCATTCATTTGCTCTGTTTCTCTTTCCCGGAATGCACGTGCAACAACGTATTACACGTCTCAAGGACGAACCCACTGACGTCACGGAACGTGGCATGTGCATGCATGTTGGATACATGTCACTAATCTCTGAGTTTAAATCTTATGTGTCTACACAGGTTTGATAAATTTAGATTTTAAATTTTTGTATGCACAGTTTCTTTATGTGCCTAGCATATTTAACGTCGCTCTCAGCAATAGTTCAGCTTTATTTCAGTTGTCTGTAAATAGGCGAGATAAACTAAAGAAACCAAGTCTGCAAGCTCGACTGTATACTCGCCTTTTACAGGTTTAACAGTTTGCTGGGTACCTACTTTCATACCTTGATTCACCGCGGGCTGCACCAGTTATATAAGCCAAGGCAAAATAGGAAATGGATATTCGGCAACGTCCAGTCACTTTTAGATATATGACATTTTACATAACACATTCCTTTTATCCCGAGTCACGACGTTTCAGGGCTATTCTTGAGGTAGGTAGGTAGGTAGGTAGGTGTGTGTGTGTGTGTGTGTGTGTGTGTGTGTGCGTGCGCTCGCGCGTGCGTGCATGAGTAAAGCATGACACGCATACACAACACAAGGTGGACAGATGTACAAAGGTAACAGTATTATGCCAAATCCTCGGTTTCCTGCATGTACGTAAGGTCACGTAGTGGAAGTTTGAAACGGTTGGGTAGACCAGTGGTTAAATGAGTGAGTGAGTGAGTTTAGTTTTACGCCGCACTCAGCAATATTCCAGCTATATGGCGGCGGTCTGTAAATAATCGAGTCTGGACCAGACAATCCACTGATCAACAGCATGAGCATCGATCTGCGCAATTGGGAACCGATGACATGTGTCAACCAAGTCAGCGAGCCTGACCACCCGATCCCGTTAGTCGCCTTTTACGACAATCATAGTCGCCTTTTATGACAAGAATGGGTTGCTGAAGACCTATTCTACCCCGGATCTTCACGGGTCCCCAGTGGTTAAAGCGTTCGCTCATCAAGCCGTAGACGTTTAATGTGTGAAGAAGACCCTTTCCTGTGTCCCCCGCCCTGGTATTGCTGTAACACTGTTATAGGCGGCGTGACCATACTCACTCACTCACTACTGGCAGTTCGGCAAGGAGAGTAACATAATTCAAGACAACATTCACGCACTTGTTCTACTCACTAATCAATTCACTCTGTTAAAAAAGCAAAACGTACCATTTAGGCACTCGAGACAGCACGTGGATGAGAGATGGGTTGGGTTGACACAATGTGTCGGAGCACAGTCGATGTAAATACAGTTGACTGAGGGGCCGTAGCTCTCTTCCGCGCACACACAAGGCTGGCACTCGTTCTTCAGGAACGTCTCCCCGATGGCGAAAAACTTGTTGCCGTATTCGCAGCTATTGCGTGTGTGTGTCAATGGAGACCCAAGGCAGGTTGCGATAATTTGCCTTAATGGCTATCTGATCGTCCTAGTCTGTATTATGCTCTTAAAGCATACCTTATGTTTGGAGGAACCATGGCATTATGAGCCTGACTGCATGAGACAGTAGGTGCCACTTGTTACTGTTTGTGTTGAAAAACAGGTGCAACCTGTCTCCGTGTTGAATAACAGGTGCAACCTCTCACTGTACGTTTTACATGGCAGGTGCAACATCTTACTGTATGTGTTAAATAGCAGGTGCAACCTCTTACTGTATGTGTTAAGTAGCAGGTGCAAGCTGTCACTGCATGTGTTAAATAGCAGATGCAACCTTCTACTGTAAGTGTTAAATAGCAGGTGCAACCTGTTACTGTATGTGTTAAATAACAGGTGCAACCTGTTACTGTATGTGTTAATTAGCAGGTGCAATCTGTTACTGTTTGTGTTAATTAGCAGGTGCAACCGCTACTGTATGTGTTAAATAGCAGGTGCAAGCTGTCACTGCATGTGTTAAATAGCAGATGCAACCTGCTAGTGTATATGTTATATAACAGGTGCAACCTGTTACTGTATGTGTTAAATAGCAGTTTCAACCTGTTATCGTATGTGTTAAATATGTGTTAAATATGTACAACCTGTTATCGTATGTGTTAAATATGTACAACCTGTTATCGTATGTGTTAAATATGTACAACCTGTTATCGTATGTGTTAAATAGCAGGTGCAACCTGTTACTGTAGATGCTGAAGTAGCAGGAGGTGCACCCTCTCACTACACCCCGCGACTGTGGGGGTTGAAATATTATGTCCCCGTACCCCGTGTAACTGAACATGTTAAAGCAGGAGGTACACCCTCACTACAGTCTGTGACTACATATGCGGAAATAGCAGGTAAAGGTGCCTGTTGTGACGACAGACGTTCAGTTGATTCTGTCCTGCCAAAATGTATAGGGAAAATGAAATAGTATCACATATCTCTGCTGCATTTATTTTTAACATCAGATATAATACACGTTATTCTGATGCTACACGCAAATGGCATCCAACGATGTTGGTGGGTACGTTTTGACATCCGGACATTTGCAGGTCTGCCCACCAATCACGGTCTCTTTCCCGGCAGGAATAACCTGGTTACCATGACGGCAGTTGGGGCCTGTTAAAAAACACATAAGTTCTTGTTAGGTGTCTGCAACATGTATTTTTTAACAAAGCAAAGATTCTATAAATAGCAACATCCAAGAGAGATATATTATCAGGGTAATTTAATTCTTTAACATGATATTTTAATTCATGTTGTCAATTACCGCATGTCCCACCCGGGATGATGTAAACCCAACTAGGATCCATGCAGGTAGCTAATGTACTATAAGTCCCCATGGTCCTAGTATGGTGATCTACCTTCAGTTGTTGGCGATTTATTGCCAATTTTTATACTGTATTGTCCTAATTTAAAATCCAATTTTAGAGAGAGGTGCTAGTTTTATTTCTTGATATTGTGATATTCAAGTTTGTTTTACTGTGCTTCGTTGACAGGATTTATAATTTACATGTATTTATGGTGAATTTAAAGCTGGTTTTAGTCATATGGCTGAAATATTGCCGATGTGACTGTAATTCTTAACTCAATCACTCCAACCCGGGAAAGACATATTCATCTGTATTTATCAATGTAATCCTTAAATAGTCAAGATTATTTGTTACTCACAAACACAAGATACACATTAAAGAGCTGTTCGCTTGAAAAACTACAACAGCGGTAAGTATGCTTTAGAAAACGAAAATATGAACGTGATGTACTTGCTCTAAGGGAGATCACTCTCATCAGAAAATCGGACTTTAGGAAGAGGGTCGAGTGGCCACCTTGTGAAAGACTTATGCTTTGGCTTAGTATCATACAATTCCAAAACTAGTCTTCAGTTGCGGCAGATTTATTATGTGTACTAAATACATGTCACAACCAAACACGTTATAGTGATGCATTTTGTATAAAATTAATAACTTTGCCCAAAGTGAAGTATTGTTTTTGTGAACCCTTTGTTTTGGAACATGACCTCTGCTAATCAGTCACAAACTTTAAAAAACAACACCGTCACATGTAACTTCCATAACAAATGAGGTGGTGTAGTAGCCCAGTGGTTAAAGTGTTCGCTCGTCACGCCGAAGACCCGGGTTCGAGTCCCACATGGATACAATATGTGAAATCCATTTCTGGTGTCCCTCGTCGTGATATTGTTGGACTATTTTAGTGGCGTAAAACAAACATAACAAATGTAATGTGTTGGTAATAACAGTTTCTGTGGTTATGACAGGACAGTCATCTTTTCAATGTTAAATGAATATATTAGAACAAAAACTGTAATTCGGTATACAAATTTAAAGACATATTTGTATAGTTTCCCAAAACATAATTTCTCATTGTTTCAGGATTGTGCATTGGAAAGTACAATCGAAGTTTTGCAATCAAAGGGGTCGTTTTTTCTGCATTTTCACCCACACAGAATATAAGTTTCATTGCTTGAACATTTCACATCTACAGTTTGGGCGATTTCTTTTTATTATTTAGTGGGAATGCACTCAACGTTCTACAGCTAAAACCGCGGTCTGTATTTAATCTGACCCGATAAGGTCCGGGTAATAATTGGTCTTCAGTAACCCATGCTTGTCGTAAGCGGAAACAAACGGGATCGGATGGTCACACTCGCTGACTTGGTTGGCACATGTCATCGTATCCCAGTTGCGTAGAACGATGTTCATGCTGTTGATCACTGGATTGTCTGGTTCAGAACTGATTATTTACAGAACGCCGCCATATAGCTGGAATATTGCTGAGTGCGGCGTTAAACAACAAACCATCCAACTGTATTTAATCTAGTCTGGATTAAACCAGACGATCCGATGATTGAAATCATGATCGTCAATCCTCGATTTGGATTCGATGCCTTGCATCACCCAAGATAGCAGGCCCGACCACCCGATCGCGTTAGTCGCTTCAAGCATACCATATGTTAACAAAACAATATTAAAACCAACTCACCATTTGGACAGACAGTACAACACTCTCCGGATTCCCGGAAAGCGTCCACGCATGCGCTGTTCTGACACATAATAGCGACGCAGGAGATGCCGAGATTGACGTCACACACGCAGGGTTCACATTCGTTCTTCATGAAATGTTGCCCTACGTGGAAGAACTGAATGCCGTACTGACAACTCTGTACGGGTGACCCTTCAGTTCGGAAAACATTCAGAAGAAGGCCAAACAAGACGGCACCGAGCCACATGTTTACAGTGCAATCAAGCTGTGTGTTGCCTGTGTACAAGATTGTACTTCACTGATAAGAATCAACAAGCACTTCGTAATACTGTTACTTGTAAGTTGTTATATCAGAGTAAAGGTCAGATTGTTGTACTGTTCCACTTTCGATAAGAATATTTTTATCTTTTCGTGATACACGTCGAGTGTACATACATACCTAGGCGAAAGAGATATGATTATAAAAGCGTTGAGTAATGTATTACGTGTGAATAAAAGCTTAAGATAATCCCCAAAATCAGTTCCCATATATGGAATCCATCTCTAAGTCTAAATCCAGTTAGTCATAGATATATTAACGACGGGGACTGCAATGGATAAATAAGGCAAATCTTTGACAAAGAATATTGAACTATTAAACCCGTCAAGGTCCGTTTTAAACACAACTTTATCCCAAGTTTCCTGAGGGTTAAGGTACTTGGAGAGAGGGGGCGTGACGTTTTAGAAACAGAGAATAGCTATAGCCGAGCTCTCATCAAGAACCCTTCTGTGCTCATACTGGATGAGGCAACGAGTGCTCTTGATGCTGAATCTGAGAGAGTTGTGCAGGAAGCTTTGGATTAAGTCATTAAAGGCCGAACATTGGTGATTGCTCCTCATAGGCTCCAGCACAATAAGAGATGCTGATGTCATAGCAGTTGTTTCATATGGAAAGATAGTTGAGATGGGCTCACACAGCAAGCTGAAAGAGACGAAAGGACTCTACTGGGGCTGATCAGGCGGCAGGAGATGGAAGAAGAGTTAGAACATCGACAACAGACCGGATAATCAAAGATAGTCATAAGTGCCATACATTAACATTAACTTACGACGATCTTAGCGCTAAGAGAGCTTCGAAAATCTAGGCCCAGGTCTCCAGTAACCCATGCTTGTCGTAAGAGGCGACTAATATAACGGGATCGGGTGGTCAGGCTCGCTGACTTGGTTGACACATGTCATCGGTTCCCAATTGCATAGATCGTTATTCATGCTGTCAATCACTGGATTGTCTGGTCCAGACTGGATTATTTACAGACCACTGTCATATAACTGAGTGTGTTTATTGTTTAGCGCTGTTCTCGTCGATATTCTAGCTTAATGACAGAGTTCCATAAATAATCGAATCAGCTCAATAATGGAACCAGACATGATCGATGTTCATGGTGTTGATCTCTGGATTGTCTCGATTATTTACTGACCACAGCCATACAGCTTGAATATTGATGAGTGCAGCGTTATATAATTAACAAACAAATAAACAAAACAAACACTAACATTATTTTGCAAACGAAACAGGATTCAATCAATAATAAACTAATAGGCAAAAGAAACGATACCAAGTATGCATGTTGCCCGTACACGTGTTATTAAAATTCACTTTCCTTTTTCACAATGGTGGGTTGTCGTTTTGTAATATCAATGATTTCGACCTGGTATCGTTTCTTTTACCCGTTAGTTTATATAGAAAAATCTTTCCGCGGGTAAAAATGTTGAGTAATATCAAGACGCGCAGCTCATTTAATATTCTTCAAAAACTTCTAGTAACCTCATTCCAGCATTCTCTTATAGCAAAATGCGGTTTTATTTACGGCCTCAAATATGTTTATATATTTTATGTCGATTGACATGACATTGTCATGTGACACGATTATATCTCAGGTCATATGAACGCACAAATGGCACTTATATCAATCTCAGTCATCGCATACACTTTCAGAAATACCAATATACTTTCATCGCGGGGGTATTTAAATGTTTTAAGGGATATTGTTAAAAGCGGCATCCGGTGATCTTCCGTTTCTAAGGTGGAAAAAAATTATCAGCTTAATTACGCCCTTTGAAATATCAAAACCTTCACAGGTCAAGGGTAACCAATCATGTTAGATGTATATATATTGCCTTATATTTTATTACGGCGGTTCTCACAGATGGTAGCCCAGTATCTAGTCACTTTTAGTGAGTCCAGCAAATCGATTCGTAGTATGTATCACACTCCCTGAACCACATTCTTGCCCCTTCCGCCCAGCCATTTCTGCACAATGCTAAAGCCCTAAATGAAGCAAGTCTGGAATTTTTTAGGGCTGAATGTCCCAACTCACTGGGGCTCCTTTTCAATTAAAATGGGTTTATTTGTTACAATCAAAATTATATATATTCAGAGACTAAGCGTTAGTCTAGTCGATTCACAACAGCTGGCGAGTACGTGAAGACTCAAATCTTGAAGAGTTGTTTCCCTTTAAATCCCATATTCTGGAATGTTACAGCATGATTCATATCTACATATTCCGGTAGTAAATTCACCTCGTAACGGGATGATGCAAAGCAAAACGGCAAAGGTCTATGTATATATTTCAGTGACTCGAACGTGCAATGATCACACTGCTTTTAAGAACATCTTGTTTGATCGAATTACGCCGACAAGAGATATTGCACGTCCGTTTCCTTAGGTTCTTAAAAAGTATGTTTAAAACATGACATTTTTTTATAAATTTTGTTTTAATTTATGATTAAGATTAAATGCTCCACCGGGTTTGTTTTTTGTTTTGGTTTGGTTTTTTTGTTTGTTTGTTTTTTTTTTTTTGCTTGTTTTTGTTATTGTTTTGTTTTTTGGGGGGAGGGGGGAACACTCGAGGATACATGTTCATCTAACCGGTCACTGTCAGACTGACCCTCGTCAATCATGAACTGAATTAATCTATCTTGCCGAGTGTTGTAAACAAGCATTCAGTTCATGATTGTGTAGCTGCATGTTTATATGCCTCGAATGCAGATACATTTTAAAATCTACCTTACAAATTTCATTATTTTTCGATGTCTTCTCTCTCTCTCTCTCTCTCTCTCTCTCTCTCTCTCTCTCTCTCTCTCTCTCTCTCTCTCTCTCTCTCTCTCTCTCTCTCTCTCATGTCATATGAGCATAATTTGATAGCGACTGTGACAAATATGATATTACTTTTCATGTATGATAACTTTTAGCGCTTAAGAATTAAGCAGAAGCGCCTCATAAATATCCGATACAGGTAGTACTTAACACATTGAAGCGTCTCTACAATGCCTTGATCACGTGAATTCGTAACGTGCATTCCTGTGTACAGTTCATTACAGTGTTAACTTGCTTACTACGCCATATTTGTATATATCGGTAGTTTTCCATGATGACTAAATAACAAGGACTCGGCGTAAACATTCAGTTGAACACGGTTTCATTTACTAGATCAATTCCAACATTTCTATATATTGTCCGTCCTTTTTTTCCCGTCCGTCTTTTGTCAAAAACCCGGAAGACGTGTCGGGCAGGCGCAGTGGCTTCTGCTTGGTTTTAGCAGACATCTCAGTCCGAATAATCACGAAGTTGGCCAATAACTGCCATATTTATGTCTTTACTCGCGTAGAAGCGAGATGTTTAAAAATTTGAAGAATAAGATTGAGCAAACGGTAGCTCAGTTGCCTCTGAGGAATGCCGTGACGGGAACGTTAAAGGTAAATAACGCAAGAACACACACAGGAACTGGGGTTGGCCAAGCCGGCCTGGCAATAAGAAGGCGGAAGTGTCAGCTGTTGCTGTGGCTTGTTAAATGGGATATAATATATTTGAGTGATACCCTGATAATGTTACATTATGATATGTAGTGATGCATGTCCCTGACACATTTGAAGCAATAACGATGTTTCAGTCGTATCAAAACAAGAATATTACCTGCATCCGGCCATGTTGATATTCATGTTCCGATCTGCCATCACCATGATAATCGCTTCTATATAGAAGTACCACCATAGTCACATGCTTTCTGTAGTTTTAATTATATGGGGAATATATATTTCGACTTTTCTATGCATTGTCATATATAGTTAATAAAGGTACGAATGAGATATTTTGTCCCATTTTTATATTGTATAAAATTAAATATGTTGTTGCATTGATGTGGAATGAAAACTAAACTTCTTAAGCCATATTTGTTACTCAATATACAGATGAGACATGTCTCAACGAAAGGCTCAACTTGGCTCTAAAATTTATCAATTGCACCAGCAGCCTGTTGATTTTCTGAGCCATGCATCACTTCATGCTTTTAGTCAAACATTAAGCCAACGTGTCGAGATATAAGCTAACTGTTCTGTGTGTTATCTCTCGCCATGGAATAAGATTATACAGGATTGAGTCAAATGTGCATATATGTTATCACAGTTGAGTTAGGAACCAGGGTGCGTTTGCACAAAACAACCTCAGAGCTACAACTGTCGTAAGTCTATGTTAAAGTATGGGAGTTAGGGTCACCTTAACACTAAGATTGCTATGTACAATGGCACTCTGACATTATGAAATTATCTCAGTTCATATCAATGATATATTTAAACCAAGCTATTAAATTTCACTTCGCAGAAATTGTTGAAATACAACTGCGTGTGCCATGAGGGTTGCCAGGCTCATGTTTATCAGCTTAAGGCACAAGGCTGATTTGCACTGAACAGGATGAGATCAATTTTAAAACCTTAAGTGACATTGACAAAGTACCTAAAGTGCACAACTATTTAGCACAGTAAGGGCCATAATCTTCTTATTCCAAAAGCAAATATGGTTATGCATCTTATGGAAGTAGTATAGTTATAAATAAATAAAACCATGACAAACTAGTGGTGAAACAGTATGCTCTTACCATGGTACAGTACGTATTGTGGTACAAGGCCTTCAGTTAGGACCATGTCACATCGGTATATGAGATATGATCATAATGCAGAAAACTGACAAGAGTCGAACCATACATTGTTAAATAACATGGAAAAATGCCACCACAAACTTTGTTATTTTGAATGAACAAAGCTGTCATTTTATGACTAGATAGAAATGATGGCATGAAAACCGAATTCTTGGATTGCATTACGGTATGCCGAACAAAAAGCAAAATACTGCGGTTCCACTAATATTACTGTGTACTGTTTCACCCCTAACCATGATCACCATCAGAGCTCCAGATAGATTTAGCTCATGTGGGTACTGTACCCACTGTATTATTTTGGAGTGGGTATTATAAATGTTGAGTGGGTATTTCATTTTCCGTT